CTTGTGAATCCTGTCACAGCCGCGCCACCAGCCAAACCCCAACAATGACGGGAACTCCCCCAGGAAGGGCTGTCCCTGTGGGAGGAGGAGAGGGGCTCAGGCCGCCCCCTGGCTCCGCCCCGCCCCCTCCCTCTGGCCCCACCCCTACCGCAGAGCCGCTCCACTCAGGCCCCGCCCCACGCAGGGAGGCGCATGCGCAGTCCTGGCAGCCGGAAGCGGCTGCGGAGGGGCCGGTGGCGGCTCCCTGAGGCGGTGTCTGTGCTTTAAAGCCGCTGCTCCCGGCCCCTCCCCGCAGGGCGGGCTGAGGGCGCTGCGGGCGCTGAAGTCCGTGTGGGAGCCCCGCCCGGAGCCCCTCCCGGCGGTGAGTGCGCGTCCCGGGGCTGCGCAGTGGAGGCGCCGTGTTCCTTTGAGGGAAACTGAGGCCCGGCCCGCGGTCTGTCCGCCTGTGGCTGTGGGCCCGCCCGCCGCGTGGTTTTCCCGCGGAAAACCGTTCCCGGGGCCGCCGGTGCCCCCGCGGGGCTGGAGGTCTGGTCAGTGGTTCCCGGCCTTTGCCCTCCCCCGCCCGGCGCTTCCCGCCCAAAGAGCCCGGATGGCCCGGCCTGGGGGTCTGCGCCCGCCTTCCCAGGCCCCCCATTAATCAGGTCTGAGTGCCAGGGGGCCAGTGCCAGGGGGTGGGCTCGGGGAGAACGCGGTGTCCCCGGAAGAGGTGGCACTTTTCTGTTGTCAGCAGGAGAGCGACCTTCCGGGGCCCATCGGAATTCTGTGAATATTTACCGAGAATTTGGCTTCCTGCTTCATCTCCAGGATTGGGAGGAGCGGAGAGTCATTCCATTCCCGGCCCTCCCACTCCGTGTTTGTGTGTAAAAGCCACTGCGCAGTGAATAAAGCTGCCGCCGTCCTCCGGTCCCGCTTTCCTGTCTTTTTCTCTCACTTCCCTCCCTGCCTCAGTCCGCTCACCTGTCAGGCTGGCCCTGACTCTCAGGTCCAAGCCCAGCGGGGAGCATGCCACCCGAGCACGGCTTTCTGTAGTGAATTTAACACCTGAGTTGCCTTTTACAAGTCTGAATGAGAGTGACAAATCTCCAGTGTGTAAGGCTTGGGGATTTTATAATAATTTGCTTCCAATTGCAACCCGTACTCACTCAGAGGGGAGAGACTTGTCTGTTGCTCCTGGGACCCTTGTCATCCTGGATGGCAACGAGGAAGTGACCTAAGTCCGTAACTACCTGATGCTTTTTCAAGGAATATTAGAAGCCTCAGCTTTGTGACTGTGCTTAGTGGTGAGTGTGTGTGTGGTTTCCTCCATGGATTAACCTTTTCTCTGAGTGACACTTCACTTAATTTATTATTTAAGAATATCCTGAAGTAAATCTTCTGGAACTTCTCAGATCCCCTGAGGAGCTGTAAGAAATGCTCTCAGATGCACTTTCCCCCGTGGAGGAGGACAGCTGCTCTGGGTGGGGCATCATTGGTCACTGAGGTGCCCCGGGTGATGGAAGGTGGGGACAGGATTAGCAGGAGCGTTGCAGGACGCCTTTGTGAGAGTGGGAGCAGGCTTTGCTCAGCGGAGGTAAGGGGGTGCTCGGTTTCGTTTGGGGGGTCAGGACAGCAGTTCACGTTCTCATTTCTGTAGGAGTTTGTGGAAGTCTTTGAGAGGAGAGACACATGAAGACACAGAAAAACACAGTCACAGTGTGGTCTCCATGTAGGAGCTCATTGTTGCTGACTCTCTCCCTTGACCGAGGACAGGATGGGTGGCCTTTTCTGTATTCCAGTTCCTTCTGATAGTGAGTGTGAGGTGAACTGATTGAGATGCTGTGCTGACGTCTTTTATATATATATATAATTGATTTTACAGAGAGGAAGAAGGAAGGATAGAGAGTCAAAAACTTCGATCAGCCACCTCCTGCACACCTCCCCTGGGGATGTGCCTGCAACAAAGGTACATGCTCCTGACCGGAACCGAACCCAGGACCCCTCAGTCCGCAGGCCAGTGCTCTGTCCACTGAGACAAACCGGCCAGGGCTGTGCTGACGTCTTTGAAGGCATATTCTAACTCCTCAACATACTGACATCTGAGGAAACAACCGAGAGCCTGATCAGGACCAGGAACAAATGGCTGCTTCTCAGGTATCAGATGTGTTCTGTGTCAGAGGCTATGATTGCTTCTCTCTAACATCTGGTGATTTATTTATTTCTCATGTTCTTGTGTCTGCCAGTTATTTTTCCCCCCTTTCTTCATTACTTTATTCTTCATAGTCAATGTCAGAAGTTTCTATATTTCTCTCTTTTTTTGTGTTTCTCTGATTTTTTACTCTCTCTTTTTAAAAATAATATTTTTTTTTATTGATTTCAGAATGGAAAGGAGAGGGAGAGAGAGATAGAAACATCAATTAGGTTATGGAATTATGGATCACCTGCCTCTTGCACCTTATCCGGCACTGGGTATGGAGTCTGAAACATGGAGGGATCCCAGACCAGGAATCTAAACCTGCCCTCCGGTTCATAGGTCAACCCTCTACCTCTCAGCCATACTGGCCGGCCTATAATTCCCTCTTTTGTCCCAGAGCTTTGTCTGCATTCATTTTGTCACCCTCCCACGGTCAGGAAGCATTGCTACCTTTAATTAGTGGCTCTTAACTTAAAATATTCCTTTTGTGATAGATCAAATTGGAAGGCAGCCATGTCTAACATTCCTTCTGGGATGGGGTCAGAGGCTCAGGTATCAGTAAAGAAGGCAAATAGGGGTTTTAGGTTTAAGAGGCTGCAGCGTCAGCTCTCAATCAGGGGTAAGAAGATACACATCTTACTCCTCAGAGTAGCTAAGAATGTTCTGAAAAGAAGGGTAAGTTCTGCCGAAACCGGATTGGCTCAATGGATAGAGAGTCGGCTTGGGGATTGAAAGGTCCCGGGTTCGATTCCCGTCAAGGGCATGTACCTTGGTTTCGGGCATATCCCCAGTAGGGGGTGTGCAAGAGGCAGCTGATCGATGACTCTCTCTCATCGATGTTTCTATCTATTGCAATATCTCTCTCCCTTCTTCTCTGTACAAAATCAATAAAATATATTAAAGAAAAAAAAAAGGGGGTAAGTTCTTAGAAGAGACTTCCTCATTAGATCAGTACAAAAGACTTGCTAGGTAAATGTACTATTAGCTTATAGAACATGAGAGGTACAGGGGGATTGACACTTGCAAAAATTAATGTTTATATGTGGTCAATTCCACAAATTTATTTATTTATTGATGTGTTTTTGGCAGTGATGTCACGGCAATGGTGACTGACCTTCTGAGTATGTGCGTCAGTCACCTGACGCCCATTGCTCAGTCCACCTGATGTTCACGTGGCAAAGGTGCTCCCCTCACTGTAGAGTTTATAGTTTCCCTTTCTCAGTAACAAGGATGTAATAACGATTAAATGAAAGTTGTGCAAAGGCCATCACTTCACATCTGGAAATGTTCTTCTTAGTTTGGGTTTCCTTTGGAAAATGAAAGACTTACGTTTCTTTCCTGCAGATCATTGGCTTTTGCATGGGAACTTTAATCAGGCCTTGATTCTTTACATTTTCCTTATATTTTATATTCCCATGAGAGACATACCCTATATTACCATTTTTTTATATTTTCTAGAAAGTTTCCAAGAATGATATTATTAATATATGTTCAGTTTTATTAAATTTCTACAACATAGCTCTCCACTAATGATACATTAAAATTGGAAACAAATGTACCAGTAAGAAAAATTAGTTCCCCCAGGCTGGTGTGGATTATTGGTGGAGGGTTTGATTCCTGATCCAGGGCAAGTACCTCTTGGGTACCTGCGGTAGGCAGCCAATCCATGTTTCTCTGTTTGTCTTTCACACTGATATTCCCCCCACCCCCTCTCTCTCCTTTTTGTTCCTCTACCTCCCTGCCTTCCTCTAATGAAAAGTCAGTGGAAAAAAATCTCCCCACTTGAGGATTTACAACCACACAAAGGAAACAGTAGGTCTACCTTATTTTATATGCTTATGTTTCTCTTTGTATTATGTTTATAAAACACAAAGTGGATCATACACAAATAGATTCATGAGATTTATGCAATCACTAAACCATACTGATTTTATAGTTGTAAAATTTGTATCTCTGTGCCTAAATTGTTAACATTATTTCATCTTTTTTTTTGCTTTTTTTTTTAAGTATGTTTTTATAGATTTCAGAGACGACGAGAGAAGTAGAGAGAAATAAAAACATAAGTGACGGGAGGGAATCATTAATTGGCTGCCTTCTGCACACCCCACACTGGCAATTGAGCCTGCAACCTTGTCGTGTGTCAGGACCAGGAATTAAGCCAGTGACCTCTTGGTACATGGGTTAGCACGCCACACTGAGCCACACCAGAAGGACCAGGCAGAATAATCTTGTCCTAAGATTACTTATAGTAAATTTCCAACTAGGATTGTGGTTCCTATGTGTTCTATTCCATGAGAACTGAATTCCATTAACAAACCCTTTTAGTTGAAAGTTGTATATGAATTTTTTTCTGTGTTTACACTTTCTCTGTATTCAGAATATAGAACATGGATCAGAAACGTTGACATCACAAGTAAAAAGTGAGCTTGTTACACGTGTGGAAACACAAGCCACATCTCAGAACCTGGATCGGAATCTGTATTTTTGCATAACTTCATTCCCTTGTGGTCTGCTTTCCACTTATGAAGAAGTCCGTATACTTCCAATCAGCATGACATTTCCCGCTGAGAACGATACACCACTAACCCTAAACGATGCAAACACAGCACTCAGAAATGCATATGCCTGTGTCCACGCTTTAATTTCAAAGTTTATTTTCCTGTAAAGTAAAATCTGTACTGATGGATTTGTGGACATGTGTCATCCTCAGGTGTCAACATTAGAAAACACATTAGAAAATGTTATTGGAGCAAAGTGCCCTTACACTGTTTTCATGTGGGGTGACATTATGAACTCCTGGTGACCTCTTGGTAACTGTGTCTTCTTTCAGGGACCATTGACCTTCAGGGATGTGGCCATAGACTTCTCTCAGGAGGAGTGGGAGTGCCTGGACCCAGCTCAGCGGAAGTTGTACCTGGATGTGATGTTGGAGAACTACAGCAACCTGGCCTCCCTGGGTGAGGATGACTTCCTGAGTTCCTACTCCACCCGCAGGGTGTTTTTTTTTTCTTTATTATTTTTAGCATCTCCCCAAGGGGCTGTAGCATTTGGCATTTTCAGCAGCAGTGATTGGGAATTCCAGTTGCTCCACATCACAAAGGCACTTGGTGGGGTCAGTGTTCTGGATTCTGACCTATTCAATGGTGGTTGGGTGTTGCTTGCTTGTTCTGTTTGTTCCTTCCCATTGTTATAATGTGCATTTCCTTAGTGACATAAGACGTGCAGGATCTTGTCACACTGATTTTCTACGTGTATGTATTTTGTAGTGCTGTGCATTAAGGTGTTTGGACCTTTGCAGGTTGTTTTGTCCATGTTGAGTTTGAAGGCTTCTTTGTGGATTTGCATAATTGTCCTGTACATGTTGAGTTTTTAAATAATATATAGAGGCCTGGTGCACGAAATGCTTACTGGATAGGGTCCCTAGGCCTAGAATCCTGGCCTCCTCCATCCCTTGCTCCCTCAGAGTCCCGCCACCTCTGCTGGTTGACCCCTGGTGGTCAGTGCATGTCATAGCGAGGGATCAAACTCCTGCTCTTGAGGTTGAATTCCCAAGTGGACAATATATATACAATATATATATATATTATTGATTTCAGAGAAAAGGTGAGAGGGAAAGGTAGATACATCAATGATCAGAGAAAATCATTGATCAGCTGCCATGTGTCCTGACTAGGAATCAAACTGTGACATCTTGGTTCATAGGTCAAAGCTCAATTGCTGAGCCGGGTCAGCTGGGCCATGTTGACTTTTACAAATATATTTTCTCAGCCAGTGGCTTCTTGTGTTTTGTTTTGTTTTTCCCGTTGAGGGTGCATTTTTTATTGTTTTTTTCCTTTTAATGTTTGAGTTGATACAGTGGGAGTTTCTATTTTAATACAATGGATTGAAATACAAACCTGGTTTTGTATTTGCCTTTCAAACATGTGAGCTATATAAAGTTAATGTAGTTTTATATTCAATAACATGGAAGTTATATTTGCAGCTACTGTGTCATTTCTGGAATAAACACATAGTGAGTCATGTCTTGAAGGAGATGAGTTGAGATATGAATTTTAGCACCTTGCTTGTCAACTCAAATGAAATCTTTTATTTCAAATGGTAGAGCATCATTATAAAAATAGTCCTTTTTTTCCTAGTCCGATATCATTATTATTGCAAATAGTGCTGCAGTGGATATATGGGGGATATATCTTTTTGAATTTGTGTTCTCTGTATAAATCACCAGAAATGTATTCTTTGTGTTAACTGGTACTTGTTTGTAAATACAGTAGGTCCTCAGGTTACATCTGAGATCTGTTACTATGGTGCAACAACGCGATTTTTGCCATAAGTTAGAACCCGCCTACATAAGCACCTATGTCACTCACATCACAGCAGTAGTGAAATGAAATGTTAAAAAAATTTTGAAAAATAACAATTCCTGACCTAAATCTGTGGTAAATAAATGATTTAAAAAAAAAAAAAAAAAAAAAGCACATAATATACATATGTCGAAATGACTGAACTTTTTTTTTTTTTTTTTAATAAATAAATGGAAGATGGCGATGTAATCAGGAAACGACTTACATCGAGTTTGATGTAACCCGAGGACTTCCTGTATTGGAAAACCCTCTATTGTGTTTTGTGAGTGGCTGTAGGAATCCTATCGATATGTATTAAAAGGCCAGGGTCCTGACTGGGGTTTGGCTCAGTGGATAGAGGGTCGGCCTGCGGACTGAAGGGTCCCAGATTCGATTCAGGCCAAGGGCATGGACCTTAGTTGTGGACACATCCTCAGTAGAGGGACATGCAGGAGGCAGCTGATTGATGTTTCTCATTGATGTATTTAACTCTCTATTCCTCTCCTTTCCTCTCTGTAAAATCAGTAAAATATATTTTTAAAATAAATAAATTAAAAAATAATAAAAGACCAGGAATCATAAGTGTAACAACTTATTGACCAGTTGCCATGAAGAGCATTAATCACCTCTCGGTCCCTCCCCCCTTGGCCTGTGAGTGGTGGCAAGCAATGAGTGGCGGCAGCAGGCAAGGTGGTGAGGTACCAGTAGCAGTGGGTGGGGTGGGGAGTGGAGGCAAGTGACAGCGAGCTGCTCTTGCATGGACTCGTGCACTGGGCTTCTAGTCTGTATATTTAAAAGCCTAAGCAGCCGGGACTGGTTTGGCTCAGTGGATAGAGCACATGTGTCAAACACAAGGCCTGCGGGCCAAATCCGTCCCGCCAGGCCTTGCAATGTGGCCCACACCGCGCTGTCATCACTGCACTCCGCTGCGTTTCCATCACAATGACAGTTTATGACTGTTCAGTAAACCATTCGGCCCGAGATTTAGGCTGGATTTTAGATTTTGGCCCCTTCTCTGATTGAGTTCGACACCCCTAGGATAGAGCGTTGGCCTGGGGACTTAAAGGTCCCGGGTTTGATTCCGGTCAAGGGCATGTACCTTGGTTGTGGGCGCATCCCAGTAGGGGGCGTGCAAGAGGCAGCTGATCGATGATTCTCTCTCATCAATGTTTCTAACTCTCTATCCCTCTCTCTTCCTCTCTGTGAAAAATCAATAAAATATATTTTAAAAATAAAAATTAAAAAAAAATAAAAGCCTAAGCAACTGGTTGACTGGTTGGTATAATGCACTGACCACCAGGGGCCAGACACTCAACACAAGAGCTGCCCACTGGTGGTCGGTACACTTCCACAGCCAAATGACCTTGGTCGGCCAACCTTTTGGCATCCCTCCCCTGGGCCAGCTGGCCCTGATCGGCCCTGATTGCTGGCCAGGCTGAGAGACACCACTTGTGCATGAATTCATGCACTGGGCCTCTAGAGTGTTTATAATCTTGCTGACAGTGTACCAACGTTCTCATTTCTTCACTCCATTGGTAATACTTGTTGGGTTTTGATTTATGGATGATTGGCATCCTGTTAGGTGTTTGGTGGTATTTCATAGTGGTGTCCATTTGCATTTCTCCAATGATGAATGAGTTGAACATCATTTAATATGTCTATTGCGCATCTTTATGTCATGTTTAGGAACTTTGTATTCAGGTCCTCTGCTCATTTTTCAATCATATTTTTTGTCTTTTTGGTGTTAAGTTGTGCAAGCTCCTTATATATTTTGGCTCTTTAGCTTTTGAGGATGCAACAATGCTGGGTTTTTGTGGTTTCTTTTGCTATACCAAACTTACTGTTTTTTGTCTTATTTCTTTATTTTTTAGCTTATTCATTATGCCTAGGAAGATATATGCAAACCAGTATTTTTAAGCGTGATGAGAAATTTCATTGACTATACTTACTTCCAGTGTTTTCATGATTTCAGGTATTATATTTTAGTTGTTAATTCATGCTGAGTTCATTTTGGTTCATGGCCTATGAATGAGGTCTACTTTTAGTATTTTTGCCTGTATTTGTTCCATTTTTGTAACACTTCTTGGTGAAGAATCTATCTTTACCTATTGTGTATTTTTAAAAAAATATATTTAATTGTTTTTTTACAGAGAGGGAGAGGAATAGAGATTTAGAAACATCAATGAGATATAAACATCGATCAGCTGCCTCCTGCACACCCGCTGCTGGAGATATGTCTGCAACCAAGGTACAAACCCTTGCCTGGAATCGAACCTGGGACCTTTGAGTCCGCAGGCTGATGCTCTATCCACCCCGAGCCAAACCGATTTCGGCCATCGATAGGCTCTTATCCACTGAGCCACACCACTCATATTATTCTCTTATTTTCTAAAGTTTCACAAGAGAAATCAAAGGGATACATGTTTCTTTTTTTAAAAAAAAAATATATATATATATATATTTTATTGATTTTTTACAGAGAGGAAGGGAGAGGAATAGAGAGCTAGAAACGTCGAGGAGAATCATCAATTAGCTGCCTCCTGCACACCCCCCAGTGGGGATGTGTCCGCAACCAATGTACATGCCCTTGACCGGAATTGAACCTGGGACCTTTAAGTCCACAGACTGATGCTCTATCCACTGAGCCAAACCGGTTTCGGCGGGATATGTGTTTCTTTAATAGACCACCACAAATAGAAGATGCACAAATGCACTCCCCTCATCTCTCTCTCTCCACAGAAGAAACGGGGTTTGGAAGTGTTTCCATAATATTGCCATTGTATGCCCAGGGTATCATTGGCAAATTTAAGCAACTCTTTCTCCCCCTTCAGTGTGAGTCTTCTTCATTGTACCTATCTTGAGCTATCGTTGAATCTTACTCTTGGGAGTACTCCAAAATGTCATTTGGTCAATTCTTGCTGGTGAGTTCAAAGTGCACTCACCTGATTGTCAAAACTGAAAATTTGCTTTCTTTCAGCCATGCCACCTAAAGATAACCAGGCCTTTATGCCAAAGCCCGGAATACAAGATTTATTATCTGAAATGATACTGGTAAGATATAAAAGGTGTTACTTTGATAATGTACACTTAATGAAAGTATTTGAGGAAGAGTATGATAATAAGGGAGAATATTAATATAAACAGAACTCATCAAGGACAGTTATCATAATAATTTTTTTTTTTACCTAAAGAGGTCAAGTGTATTATGCATTTAGGAAACCTCTCAGTTTGAAGTCAGTTACATTGGCAGATCTGTGTGTTTGTGCACGTGAAGTTTGTAAACAATTTTTTATTATAATGTATTCTTGGAAAGGGAACCTGGAAAAACTAGGAATTCTTTCTTTCTTTCTTTATTTATTTATTTACAAAAGTACTTCTCTTTTTATTTGGAATTTTCCATACATGAATATCACACACTAATTCTTTTTTTTTTTTTTTTTTTTTTGCATTATGATAAAGCCAATTTATTTATTTATTTATTTATTTTTAATATATTTTATTGATTTTTTGGGTTGTTTTTTTTTGCCCCCCTCTCTATTTTTTTATTGATTTTTTTTATAGAGAGCAAGGGAGAGGGACAGAGAGCCAGAAACATAGATGAGAGAGAATCATCAACCAGCTGCATCCTGCACCCTCCCCATTAGGGATGTGCCCGCAACCAATGTACATACCCTTTACTGAAATCGAACCCAGACCCCCCAGTCCAAAGGCTGATGATCTATCCACAGAGCCAAACTGGTTTCGGCCATAGGAATTCTTTAAATAATCATTTGAATTGTTTAAAATGTAGGTTGGGATTAAACTTAGTCAATCATTTCTAAAATATATAGATTTATAATGTACCTATAAAATTAAAATGTGCTCACTTTGGCAGTTTTTTGTGATATTTTTTATTAAAAATATTTTTAATTGATTTCAGAGAATAAGGAAAAGGAAGAGGGAGAGGAAAACATTAATGATGAGAATCATTCATTGGCTGCCTTCTGCATGCCTCCTGCTGGCAACTGATCCCGTGGCCACAGCATATGCCCTTACTGGGTATCAAACCATGATCTTCTTGTTCATATATCGAATCTCAATCACTGAGTCATGCCGGCAGGGCAATTTGGTAATCTTTTATTTATTTTTTATTATTATTTTTTAAATATACTTTTATTGATTTCAGAGAGGAAGGGGGAGAGAGAGAGAGAGAGAGAGAGACAGACACATCAATAATGAGAGAGAATCATTGTTTGGGTGGCTCCTGCACAACCCCTACTGGGGATCAAGCTCTCCACCCAATTTTGTGCCGTTGACTGGAATCAAATCCAGGTCCCTTCAGTCCACAGGCTGACACTTTATCCACTGAGCTAAACCAGCTAGGGAAATTTGGTAATCTTTTATTTTTTATTTTTTTTATATTTTTATTCAGTAATCTTTTAAACAAGGATTAATTCATTCTTCCTCTGACAATGTTTTGTATTTATTTTTTGTCCTTAATTTTAACAAATTAGGAAAGCTTTTTTCATACCACCATCATGGTTTAATGAGTATCACAAAATGGTTCTTATGGAACAAGTGTACATGTTTAATGAAATTATAACTGTCACTAAACATCTTTCTATCTCTCCTTATCACCAGAGTACACATAATGGAGAGAACAGTTATCAATGCATTGAACATTGGAAAAACCTTAACCAAGAGTCACATCTTAATCAAGGGACAAGTGAGCTTGCAGAGAACCATTATAAAAGTGGAAAAGTCATTGACCAAATGTCCAATCACAACATACATCAGGTTATTCCTATTGTGGAGAAGACACTGAAAGAAAGTAACTGTGTCCAGTCTTTTCAGCAGTCTTCAAATTACAATGAACAAGAGAATATGCATACTGGGAAGGAGGCTTACAAATGGAATCTGTGGGGGAGGGTCTTCATTCAAAAATTCAATCGAAATAGACAGAAAAAAATCCATAGTAGAGAAAAAACTTATACATGTGCAGATTCTGGTAAAACATCTATTTGGCCTTCAGTTTGCACTGTAAATCAGAGAATTCAACCTGGAGAGAAGTCTTACAAATGTAAAGCATGTGGCAAAGCCTTTAAATGTCATTCATCTCTTATTGTACATATGGGAAGAATTCATACTATTTCAAAATTTTACAAACTCGGAGAAAATGGAAAAGGCTTTAGTGAGACCTCAAGACACACTCAACATCATAGAAATGATATGGGACAAAAGTCTTATAAATGTTCAGAATGTGACAAAGCCTTTAGTCGGCCCTCAACCCTTCGTATTCACCAGACAGTTCATACTGGAGAGAAGCCTTATAAATGTAGAGAATGTGGCAAATCCTTTAGACGTTCCTCATACCTTACTGTGCATCAGATCATTCATACTGGAGAGAAGCCTTATAAATGTAGAGAATGTGGCAAAGCCTTTACCCGGTGCTCTACCCTTAGCATTCATTTGAGAATTCACACTGGAGAGAAACCTTATGAATGTAATGAATGTGGCAAAGCTTTTAGACAGTTCTCACACTTTACTTATCATCAGAGAGTTCACAGACGTGAGAAGCCTTATAAATGTAGAGATTGTGGCAAAGCCTGTAGCCACTCCTCAGACCTTACTAAGCATCATAGAGTTCATACTAGAGAGAAGCCTTATAAATGTAGAGAATGTGGCAAAGTCTTTAGCTGGCCCTCAAACCTTACTATCCATCAGAGAGTTCATACTGGACAGAAGCCTTATAAATGTATGGAATGTGGCAAAGCCTTTATCGATTCCTCCAACCTTCAAAATCATCAGAGTGTTCATACTGGAGAAAAGCCTTATAAATGTAGAGAATGTGGCAAAGCGTTCAGTAATTCCGCAAAACTAAATCGGCATCACAGAGTTCATACTGGAGAGAAGCCTTATAAGTGTAGAGAATGTAGCAAAGTTTTTAGCCAGTCCTTCTCCCTTAATCGTCATCAGAGAGTTCATAGTGGAGAGAAGCCTTATCAATGTAGAGAATGTGGCAAAGCATTTAGATGTTCATACTCCGTTTATATACATCAGAGAGTTCATAGTGGAGAGAAGCCTTACAAATGTAGAGAATGTGGCAAAGCCTTCAGTGAGTCCTCAAAACTTAATCGCCATCATAAAATTCATACTGGAGAGAAGCCTTATAAATGTAGAGAATGTGGCAAAGCCTTTATCCGGTCCTCACACCTTACTTATCATCAGAGAGTGCATAATGGAGAGAAGCCTTATAAATGTAGAGAATGTGGCAAAGCGTTCAATGAGCCCGAAAGACTTAACATACATCAGAGAGTTCATACTGGAGAGAAGCCTTATAAATGTAGAGAATGTGGCAAAGCCTTTAGAAGTTCCTCGTCCCATAATCTCCATCAGAGAGTCCATACCGGAGAGAAGCCTTATAAATGTAGAGAATGTGGCAAAATCTTTAGATGGTCCTCTCAACTTACTAAGCATAAGAAAGTTCATCCTGGAGAGAAGCCACATGAATGAAGTGAATGTGGCACATCCACTGGCAGCTCCTCAAACCTTATAGCACAGCAGAGAGGTCACACCAGAGAGGAGCCTTATAAATGTAAAAAATGTAAGTCTTTAATCAGTGTTCCTGCCTTGTTGTACAGGAGAGTTCATACTTGAGAGAAGTATTACAGACATGAGGGGCCTCATAAGTCCTTGACCCAGAGGTGAAAACTTGCTGAACACAGAATTCTGTCTGTGAACAAGCCTTGTGAATGTGAAAAATGTTGTGAAACCTTTAAAAGCCATTCATGTATTATTGTACATGAGAGACTTCATACTGGAGAAATCTTTCAAATGTAGAGCACGTGCAATATCCTGTATCTATAGCTCAAAGTTTACTGGATATCACAGACTTATAGTGGAGGAAAGCCTTACACTGAAGAAAATGCGAGAAAGCACTGGCTGACTTGCCTCAGTGGTTTAGCTTGGACGTATGAACTAGGAGGCCAGGGTGCAATTCCTGGTCAGGGCCCAGGCACCAGTTGGGGACTCAGTTACAGCCGTGGGTTATGTAGGAGCCAGCCAAACAGTTATTCCCTCTCATCATTGATGTTTCTATAGCCCCATCTTTTTTTCTTCTCTGTGTTATAACAGTGGCATCTAAACCTCTTCCTCCTCCACATCAACCCTTCAGGCCCCTCTAGCTTCTGTTCAGTAGTTTGGAATTTTACTAATGTTGTAACTGACATCAGAAGTTGACATACATATATATATATATATATATATATATATATATATATATATATATTATATATATATCTTTACATTCATGAAGTAGGAAGCCCACCTTTCTATTTTTATACTGGATTCTTAAGTTTTGAATATTACTAATTTTTTGAATACAATAAAATGGGTTCTGTGTACTTAATAACTGGAATGATTTTTCTTGTCCTGACTTTCATTGATATCCTTAAGAAGTTCTCAGTGTTCTCATTAAGTTTTTTGGGGGGTTAGAATCAACTGGCATAGCCAAAGCCAGTTTGGCTCAGTGGTAGAGCGTCGGTCTGCGGACTGAAAGGTCCCAGGTTCGATTCCGGTCAAGGGCATGTACATTGGTTTCGGGCACATCCCTGGTGGAGGGTGTGCAAGAGGCAGCTGGTCGATGTTTCTCTCTCATCAGTGTTTCTAGCTATCTCTCTCCCTTCCTCCTCTCCGTGAAATATCAATAAAATATATTTTATTTTAAAAAAAATCAACTGGCATAAAACTGATTTTATTCTCAATTATACGAATGTAGCTGAATGTTGGTTATTCTAGAGGAACCCAAGACCATGGCAGATTTGCAGTTGAAGAATATTATTTTGCATCAAAAGTTTTGTATGTTCACAGCATGATCACGGGTATGTTTATAGGCATTAGTTGTCCTTGCAGTGTTTTTCAAGCCATCACCATAAGTTCCAGGGACAGCAGGTAAGTAGAGGTTGAAATGAAAGCCCATATTCATTTCTTTTCCAATATACTGTTTTAAGTTTGTACAAGGTGGTAATATCAGATACTTTGCATGGGCCAACCCAAAGGATCACACAATGATGAAAGGAACTAGATATTGGCTACTCTTCTACTCTACTTCCTGACATCCCATGGAGCATTCATGCGTATAAGAATCTCCTGACTTTGTCTCTAGTCTCATTATCTGGACCAGGGACTTAATGGTTTTGTTTTGTTCTGGACAAACTATTGGATCTGTATCATCCATAGGAATTTGATATCAGCTAGACTTTAATTCCATTTTTTGGTACTGTAGTGAGTAATATGGAGGAAGTATATTGATGTAAAATATGATTTTTTAATTTAGTTTTTGGTATTTTTTTTAAATTTTTTTATTAAATTATTATCTGTGTACATATACCATTGTCCACCCCCACCCCCCCCATAGATGCCCTCCCTCCCCAGAGTTTTGTGTCCATTGGTTGTACTTACATGCATGTGTACAAGTCCTTCAGTTGATCTCTTATCTTCCCCAGATCTCTCTACTCTCCCCGCTGTAATTTGACAGTCTGCTTGTTGCTTTACTGTCTCTATATCTTTTGGTTCATCAGTTTATAATGTTCTTTATTATCCATTAATGAGTGAGGTCATGTGGTGTTTCTCTTTCATTGACTGGCTTATTTCACTCAGCATGATGTTCTCCTGATTTTTTTTTCACATGGTCATTAGGAAAATAAAGCAGACATTGTCCCTTGGGAGAGAGGGTATACTAGTCTTCATTTTGCAAAGAGTGCGTATTCTTGTGCTATGAGGTTAAAAGCTCTAAGTCAGAGATTTCAACATTGTTTCTCTCATGGCACATAAGAACGAACTACTGAAATTCAGAGGTCTATATATATATATATAAATTTTTCTTTTTTGCCAGTTTGCCAAAACAAATGTATAATTTTGATTCATGCACACCACACAGCTGTTAACTGTGTTGCCTGTTGTCATGTATATTATTAGACATTCTATGGATATTGTAGTCTGTGCTACTTACTAAATAGAAGTTGCTTGTTTTAAAATTTCTTGCAGCACACCACTTTGCGTATGACACTACAGTTGAAAATCTCTGCTGTAACATCCAATCCATCTTGTCTAATGTGTCATTTAAGACCACTTTTTCCTTATTGATTTCTGTCTGGGAGAAATATCCATTGATGTCCATGGGAAGCTGAAGTCTCTTACTGTGAATGTATTAATTTAAAAATGTCAGAAGCGCCGGGACTGGTTTGGCTCAATGGATGGAGCCTCGGCTTGGGGACTGAAGGGCCCCAGGTTCGATTCCGGTCAAGGGCATATACCTTGGTTGCGGGCATATCCCCAGTAGGGGGTGTGCAAGAGGCAGCTGATCGATGACTCTCTTTCATTGATGTTTCTAGCTCGCTCTCTCTCTCCCTTCCTCTCTGTACAAAAATCAATAAAATATATTTTAAAAAAAATAAAAATAAAAAAATAAAAAAAAAATGTCAGAAGCTACCTACCGCCAAAACTGCTTTGGCTCAATGGATAGAGCATTGGTCTGCGGACTGAAAGGTCCCAGGTTTGATTCCGATCAAGGGCATGCACCTTGGTTGTGGGCACATCCCCAAGTGGGGGGTGTGCAGGAGGCAGCTGGTCGATGTTTCTCATTGATGTTTCTCATTGATGTTTCTAGCTCTCTATCCCTCTCCCTCTCTGTAAAAAAAATCAGTAAAAAATATATATTTTTAAAAAGCTACCTACCTCTCAATAATCACTTAAAACATAAATGAATTAAATGCTTCAACCAGAAGACACAGGGTAGCTGAAATGATTAGGAAAATAAAACCCTTTACGTATACTGTCCAAATGAGACACAGCATGAAAGTAAAGGGTTGGGAAAGTTATTTCATCTCTACCTTTGGATCAGAAAGAGCCTTTTCTACAGAGAATTTTACTATAGTGAGAGCTCTAATCATGGACTGTGTACATTTCATAGGTATGAGTTAGCTGACCCATGTGGAAGCCCTGACTTTTTAAAAAAATATTTTTTATTGACATTTTACAGAGAGGAAGTGAGAGGGATAGAGAGTTAAAAACATCAATGAGAGAGAAATATCGAACAGTTGCCTCCTGTACATACCCTACTAGGGATGTGCCTGCAACCACATGCCCTTGACCAGAATCGATCCACAGCGGCTTCCTGGTCAACTTCGTCCTTGGTTCTGTGGCGCACCATCAGCGGCTTGCCTCTCCGCTGGAAGGCCCTGCTCTTGCCTTCCAGGATGACGGATAATATAATTTCCATGTCGGACCTGGCCAGCAGGTCAGCAGAGGCTGGGGAGACACACACACGCGCGATATTCTTGGAGATGTAGCGGTGGTCGCAGTTACCAGAACAGGAGAAGCCCTTTCGGGCCTCGCCTCTCTCCTTCGGAGACTCTGTACCATCTAGGACTTCAGCGCGGCCGCCATCGGAGAAGTCGGGCACTTGGCCATCTGTGTGGGAAAAACAGACAGAGCCGGGACATGGAGGCCCACGAGGCGACCGAGAAGCCGGCTCGCGGCCTGGCCGCTCAGTGACTTCCGGCAGAGGAATTGCCCCTTCCTGTCCGGCACCGGCCCTTCCGAGGCCGCAGCGCGCGCCATCGCGCGGGACGTGGCCGACAGGACCGGCGCAAACGGACCCTAGCGGGCGGCGGCCGAGGACATGGCGACAGCCGCTCCTCAGAGGAGCATTTCTTTACCCGAAAAAGGAACTTTGGAAGCTCAGACCCTTCCCAGTCGGCTTCCCACGCAGGTTCAGGTCTGGTTCGTTGCGGCTACTGCGCGTGCCCAGCCTCTTGGCCCTGCCCTAAAGCTCCCCTCAGGCCACGCCCCCACAGGGTGAGTTTTCTTTTGCGGCAAACCAAGCGGAAGCTTGATTGAGGCCCGGTCCCGCCTCTGCGCGGGTTTTCATTGGTTGGTTCCTGAGCTTGCGCATGCGTGGCTCCTCACTACGCCTCTGAACTCCACGCAGGCCACGCAGCTTCGCACATTATTTTTCACCTGCAGGGGGTAGCCGCGCATGCGCGACCGTTTCGAAGCCCCGCCCCTCGCGCGAGCCCGGCCCCCGGGACGCCCCTTTCCCTCCGCCGCCATCTTGTAGGAGCTCGGAAGCTGGGAGAGACGGCGAAGGTCGCACTGCGGAGCGTGAGTTGGTCTTTCTAGTTCTGCGTTTCATAACCGTCCCCTTCCCGCCCTCCGTGTCAAGGGAGGCGGCCTCCTCGGAGGCCCGCGCACTTCCCCTTGGGGTTTAAAATGGCTCCTCAGGAGGGGGAGGAGGGAGCCCGGCTGGGAGGGAGGTGGGGAGGGAGAAAAGAATAAAATACAATGGCTCCTCAGGCTGCTCCCCGCCCTCAGCGGTCGGTCTGTGGTAACCTAAGGTGAGCAGACGTCCCATCTCGCGGCGTTTTAGAAAAGTTTTAAATCGGGACTTTTTTAAAACGCCGCGGGACGAATTGTTAAAAACCGGGGACGTCTGCTCACCTTAGTGTGACCGTCTTTCCACGCGTTTCCCTTTTCTGTCCTTTGGCGACACTGCCGCCCCTCAGGGGCCATGGACCTCTCCGCGAGGTGGGCCCGCTCCCCCCAGGCCTTGGGGCGTCTCCTCCACCCGCAGCTGCCAAGTCCCCGCCTGGGTCCGAGGATTCGGACGACCCCACCCCTGGCCTGGGCCCCCCCCCCCCCCCCCCCAGCCCCCGTCCCCAGCCACCGGGTCCTCCTCGGCCCAGTGCTGCGGCTTCTCCGGTCCCCCGCGGTGTCGCCGGACACCCGGAGGGGGGCGTCAGCTCTGCCAGGGCTCCCACCGCTGGTGTGTGCACGTGAGAGGAAGGTTTGAAGGAAAAGGAGGGAAACTCAGTTTCTGACTGCTGTTTACTGCCCCTGACTCCCTCCCCGGGCAGTCAGTAGCAGATACGTCTTTTCCATGTGGTGAGATCAAGCCTGTTGTTAGAGAGTGGGAATTTTTTTTAAATATATATTTTATTGACTTTTTACAGAGAGGAAGGGAGAGTGACAGAGTTAGAAACATCGACCAGCTGCCTCCCGCACACTGCCCCCCACCTGGGATGTGCCCGCAACCAAAGTACATGCCCTTGACCGGAATCGAACCTGGGACCCTGGAGTCCGTAGGCTGACATTGAGTCAAACCAGCCAGGGCAAGAGAATGGGAATTTTTGAGCACTCCGGAGGGTCCGTGGGCTGTGCCCCAGATAGGGTTGTCAGTGCTGACACCGGGCCAGGCCTGGACATAGGGTCTCATGGCCCCTTCCCAGTTGCACCTCACAAAATAGCCTTGCAAGATAGAACACTGTCAGCTTTCTGAAGAACAGAATAACCCTGCCGAAACCGGTTTGGCTCAGTGGATATAGCGACAGCCTGCGGACTGAAAGATCCTGGGTTCGA